TCAGGCACATGAGCCCTTGGATCTAAGATCACAGTAGTTTCTCCAAGCTTGCAAGGTGGAGATGTTAGTAAGAAAGAGAGTATGTCAGAATGGGAATGGGAATTAAAACCACAGAAGAGAGAGGACCCACCTCATAAATGAGGTACTCATTCATGTGAGCAAAACTAGTGAAATCTGGCCCTAACTTCATCAACACTTCCTCACTCTGCATTAACTGCAATGGGCATTCTCCATTTTATCAGATTATATTAAATTTTTTCTGACAGTCAACTCAAAACAATGCAGCAAGGAGCTCATCTGAAATTCCAAAACAAGTCTTCTCTAACTCAAATAAGAACTCTAGGCACATTTCCCATTTCAAATTTCAAGGCTCTTAAAGTTCTTTTGGGACTCTCCAGAAATGAATAAAATTCAGCCAAATATTAAACACAAATAGATAATGGAATCTGAATACTGGTCCTACTTTTCAGAGTTTTTTGATAAAAAAGCACACAAAATAAGCACAGAAGAAAAACAAAGTCACCACCAAGAAATTACCACTTAACATCAATTACCTACAATCATTATTAAAGTGAAGCACTTGAGGCTTCTTAGGAAAAACTCAATTTCAGCAGTGCCTAGGATCTCTGCATTTTGGAGAAATGATGTAGCTAACACGTGTTTCTAATTATGTTTGCAGTTACTGCAAAACAACTAAAATGTATTCTAAGCTCAAATGGAATAATAATGCTTTCCCTTCCTTCATGCTAAGTTGTAGGTTTTGTATCTGTAACAAGACTTTGTGACTACAATTGGTGTAATTTTAACACAGAATTTCCAACAGTTTATATTCACTTGCTATTTCAAATATCTGAAATGTTTCATCAAACAACTCTTTTGCCTCCTAATAGAAGACTAGAGAAAAACATCAAGGCATTAATATATTTTATAGTTTGTATACACTTAAGATTTCAGTATAGTATTAGGCCCTCGGCATATGGCTCTTCTGCCCAGTCTGTTCTGTCCGGTTTGGAATTTCCCTTCTGTGCTGTTTATTTGAAGAGCTTTTCTTACCTCTTTCATATAATATTTAAAGGTTAAACATTAAGCAAAGAGAAAGGGCAAGTTCTCCTCTATAAACAGAGGGCTCTGCCTCCTCTGTCAAAACCCTCATGAAGCCACACAGTTTGGGCACAGCTCAGGTGTGCCTTATCTGGGGGAGAAGGCAATGCCACCTTCTCAGGGGTTGTTTCAACATGGTGGCAGGGCGACAGGTACAAGCACACTGAACCCATGCTACGGCTCCTGCATTTCTGTCCATATTGCTGGACACCAGTCTCCACAGGATCACAGGGCTAGGGATATCTGCAGGTGTTGGGCTTGCCTGTGCCGGGTATAGCCAAATTATCCTGGCAAAATCTTGGATCCATGATAACACACTAAGGGAACTGAAGATTGCTCCTCAAGTTCAGCCCACTGCTCAGAGCCAGTTCAAAACTTCTCACTAATTCTGAAGATCATGTCCTGGTTACTTCAAGATGAAGCAGCCAAAAATGAAGGAAAAGCAATTAAAAGGTTGTGGTTGGAACCTCTCTGACAATCTTTGAAAAAAGCCATACACAACACAAGGAAATATAATCTTTATACTTTTCATTCAATCATTGTGTATTTTTCAATTAATCTCAAATATTCATACACATATGGAAGATCAACACTTACAAAATTATAATTTCTCTACCCAACAACATTTCAGGCTTCAGCACATTTTTCAAAGTATTTTAAAACAAGAAGATAAAAGTCACTAATTTAAGATGGTAAACAGCTTGCAATAAATTGTAGTTATTGGTATGCAATTCTGCATTCCATTTTGGAGATTGGGAAACATTGAAAGCACACACAGAAATAGCAATACTGCAGATATTTAGAGAATGATATGCCTTGTTTAAGTCAGTATTCTAGAGAAAGGTTACGATGACAGAAAGTAAAGAAAAATGCACTGAAAATTTTAAATACATACCGTAAATGAAATTTAAAAATAAGATGTAGTCACTCTCACCTGGAACTACATACATTTATTATAGGAAGAAGCCTCCAGAATAAGCATGGGAAGTCCATAGAAAAAGCCTATTTATTAGTTTTTCAAGTAGAAAAATATTTGTCACTGAGTTTTCTAAACATTTAATTTAGGTGACAAAAACAACACTTGAAGCCATGAGGTTACTGGTTGCACAAATGTAGTCAGGTCAGAGTAATGGCATACACACAAATCATAAATACACTTATGTACAGTAGATACACTGTACTGCCTTACACTGAACTTCTACAAATTTACTTTTTTAATTACAGATGGATGAACCAGGCATCCTTTAATGAAAAATAAACTGCTGAAGAGCCTCCTAAAACTAACAAATAATGACTAGGAAAAATAATATCCCAAATTCTTTCCCAAGGCGTAGTTCATAACCGTAGTTTTGTTGCCCGGTTCATGGGAAAAAGCAATCCCTACATGGAAAAGATAAACATCAGCCACAATCAAGATGGCACAGTGGGTGAGACGATGCTGCTGGCCAACTGAGGCTTGCATGGCTCAGCAAAGAGGGCATAGGAGACTGATAAGACAGGCATTTCAGGAAAGGACACAGCTTTCCTGCTGTCATCAAATTTCCTTTGGCTACAAAGCTTCAAATCAGGATAGTAAGTAACCAGCGCAGTCTTACACTGGTGTTTTTATTGGAGCAAGTTTGCAGGAATCAGAAAGGAATGTTTCTGAAAACACAAAGGGAGAAGTTTTTGTATTTGGTATATCATCACTCTGAAAGTGCATTTGGGTTTATTCTCTTTGTATATTGAACTAACTACAGGATCTTCCACAGCTACAGATAAAGGAAATAGTCAGCAGTAAACTAGAGATTTTGAGCAGGCAGATCAGATGACACAGGAGAAAGAGAGTTAATAAGAATGTAATTTTGTGGACCTCCTTCTTGACAAATATGGTCCTCACCTTAACAGAAGGAGTGATTTTCTTTGACCACATGAATTTTATGATGTGCACTATATTTACAGTTATGATATAAACATCGTATCCACTGCTTACATGCTCTGTCAGTGGTGCCTTTCTGCCTGCTGCAGAATTTATAAATAAAGCAATGAACAATTTAAGAAGGTAGGAAGTCATGCAGCCACTAGTTCTATGTAATCTGCATCTGAACAAGAATATTTATAATATCAAATGGAATAGGACTGCCTTTCCTTTTCTGTTCTGATGTGTTCTTACAGACCCTTGAAGAAGTTGAATAGGTAGCCCCACAATCCAGTGGACAGCATAAGGACTGCTTGCATGAAGAACGACTACTGAGTTAAAAGAGAAAACAATTTAGCTAATCAGAAAGAATTCTAAATCAGAATTTGTTTCTTGTAAGGAATTTTGGTATACATTCCACATTGTAAAAAAACCTGAAAATTAATCTAATTACTGGGCATTCTCTTTCTCAGTCAAAATGTATCACAGAATCACTGAAGTGTACAAAAACATCAGAAATATTACTGCAGCAGTTGAATCTCAACACATTTAATCTCCTCCACCAAAATGGTTTGTATGAATGAGTCCCAATGTACTTTAGGTTTGTACATAGCAATCATTTGAACTGCTTAGACAAACCTGGATATTTTGCAGCAATTCTTCTGCAGGAGATGTTAACTCCCAGAACAAAGCCAGAAACCAAACAGATGCCAAGTTGTTGTGTTTTAAATTGCCATAGTCACTAGTTAAATTAACATCTGCCTACAGTCATAGCTTTGTTGTTTTCTGCTTGACCTACATTCCATTATCTGCCAGAAAAAGAAAAAAACCCTTATTCTAAAAATTCATGGGAAATGGTTCATGCTGGTTTTGATAAACTTTGCATAAACAATCTCAGACAAGTCTAATAAAATGAAATATATCACTTCTTGAACCTTGCAGTCACTGGGAAGTTTTGTGAACAGAATTAAAAACTTCAGTAGAATTTCAGAGTATCTTGAGCTGTCAGTTATTTTTATCTTTAGGAAGATGTCTGTATGATAAAGATAGCTCTTCAGTCCACAAGAAAAAAAAATAGATTCCTAAAAAGTAGACTAAAATAGATTAAAAGCTAAAAGAAAATTAGCTTTAAGTACACAGCAAAGACCTTAGCAGAAAAGACTCAGTTACAGTCACCAGCTGTTATTCAGTTAGATCCTTTCACAGTTGAAAAACATTGACTTTTGGGGGTTGTGATTGCTTAACTTAAAGTTTTTTGTATTATGCAGAACATTCTAGATCGACTCCATCTGGGAAGAAACTTTGTTTATAAACAAACAGCAGGTCTTAGTTGAAATTTGGTCCAATATTTTGGCCATTAGTTAAACTGCATCAGCATCTTACAGCTTAAGATTACTCAGTGTCCTCCTTCTTTGCTGAAAAACTCAGATTTGAAACTTTGCTTCATTTATTACAAGAAGGATAGGAGACACGAAACATGAAAAAGGCTGTGTCATACTATTTTGGGTTCCTGAAGAAACAAAAGAGATGTGACAGATTGTTGGGAATGGCCAATCCCTGACAGAAATCCCTGGAAGAAAAGCCAGAACTCAATTACAAGGGTGCTCCAGGCAGGAGAAGCATACAGACTGGAGGAGAAATGGATCTTCTGGACTCCAGGCACCCTGGGGACAGCTTAGGAGCAGAACATCAGACCAAGAATGAAATCAGGAGGATAACAGAGCAACTCAAGATTACTGAAGTATCATCCAAAGGAGGAAGTAAATATCCCAAAAGGAAGATAGATATGGGACTAAGGAATAGATGTCTCAGGACAGAGATGTCTGAAAAGCTGAGATTCTTCACCTTACTATCTGAATTTTATTTTTACATTCAATATGGGCAAAAAATTCTGCCCTTCTAGGTGTTACAAAGTTCTAAAGACAGTTTAGGCTTTCAATGTAGCACAGCAATCACAAATTACAACAATATTTGTTATACATTTAAATACTTCAAGGCAAATCATAGAATGTGGTCGATCAAGGATAATTATTATTCATTTTGCAGATACAGAACAGTTTTTCCAGTTCAAAGTCACAAAGCAGATAGCAGAGATAATTGTAAACTGAACAAACAAGAGTGTGGGGGAGGAATGTGGCTTCCCAAATAACAAGGATTTAAGAATTCTATTCTATTTCTAAAGCCCCTCCAAAGCGGCTGGGATAGCTTTTCTCCATTTGACAGTAGCAACCATACACAAGAACAAGGCTTCAAAAATACCTGATTTTAGACTGATACAATGGAAAATTTGCATCAAATTAAAAATTTAAAAATTTTACTTGCAAATTAAAATAATAAATTTTGTCTTTTACAAACATTTCAGTTTTAATAAAACCAAAGTGATGTCAGTATCTTACACCTGAATGGCAGGGAGTGGTTTTTACCTCATTGCTGGGGAACTATTATCATCTGACAGGGGGAGATAGAGTTTTGTCACATAACTGAAATCATCATGACAGGTTCTGGGATGCTCATTTAGGATACAAGGAAGATACATTCTAAACCCATCTCACAGGAAAGTGCCTCAACTTTTGTGCTGTGCAGGAATCTGAAGGCATTGTTGCAGAGGTTAAACAAGAAGGGTTTTTTGACCAAGCCTCCTTCCTGTACTATCAATATAAGCATGTGGTGTGAATAGTAGCTAGTAACATTACAGAGATCAGGAACTTGAGGATTATAAGTGTGACTAATGTCTGCTTAATGTTTAATCTGTGTTATGAGTAATTTCAAATAGGGTTTAGGGAAAGAAACGGTTCAGGTTGGACTAATTAAACAAGAACTGGTGTAAATACCCTTTAATTATGCAAGTTATTTGACTCCTGACTGAGCTGTGAATGCTTAAAGACATACCCATGTAGCCTTGTTTTGAGGTACAAGGAACATTACATAGATCATTAAAATTGCACAGGTGTCACATGAGAATGGCAAAGGTGGCTGTAGAATGCAAATGGTAATTGTCACCTGGAGAAGTATTTCACTTGGAATCAGTCATGTAAAATATATGATTAACTCTGAAAATTGATATGAGGCACAATAAAAAGAAAAGCAATACCTCAAACAGAAGAGAGTTCCTTCCTAGGTCTCTGCCTCACTGTAGATTTAGAATTTGGGACATTAATCAGAACATCAGTATTTTCTTTGGGTTTCCTGTACAATTAGTCTAACAAGTAGGATCTGATACATAAAAGGGGAAACTATCTTAAGTTCACTTCCCTTCATTTAAAAAGGCTCAATAAGAAGTACCCCAAATCAGATAATAGTGAATTTTAACTGTGATGTGCCATAGAGATTATGAATATTTCAGATAACCATTTTAAGATGGGCTAGGTGAAATATTAAGAAGAAAGTGCTGTTCATCCTCCTGAAATTGTGACTCTGTACTGAAAAATGTTTGGAACCAAAACTATACCTGTGTTTCAACATGTTTGGGGTTTTAAATAATTTGTATGACTATATCTATTAAGTTTAAAAAAATAGGGAAAAGGGGACTGACTGTCAGTAAAGCTATTGCTGTGATAAACCTCAAACTGGGAAAAAGGCTGGTTTTCACTTTCTCTACCTGCTTTTTTTTCCCAAAAAAAGAAAATCCTTATACAATAAGGAATTAAATTAAACTGCATAATTTACCAGCACACATGCATTTCATCATCTGGCTTACATACACCAGCTCTGAGTCAGAAATACTCACTGAAATGTGCTACTCTTGCAAGCACTACCTAACTTTGCTCTGCTATTAATCACTTGTGATGCAAGCACTCCCACCCATTTCTGAGAACAGTGTAGGCTGTCTGATAACTCACAGGCTTCGAGCTGCCCTTATAAAGTTGTTCCACTTGTGCATACTTCCTCATTCTGCTAGTTTGTCAGTGAAGATGAATCTCCTCATTTACATAGTCTTGCTGAAGTCAACTTTCCTTGCTTTGACAAATGTTTTTGCAGTTATTTTAGAAGAAGAAGAGAATGCTAAAGAAGCAAAACTTACTGAAACTTGTCCCATAAAGCTCAAAGCTAATCGGAAATGTGATGAAGGAGAGGATTGTCCTTATCAGATCAATTTGCCTCCGATGACCATCCAGATACCCAAAGAATTCAAACTGCTTGAGAAGACTCTCAAAGAAGTACAGACCCTTAAAGAATCAGTAAACAAGCTGAAAAAATGCTGCCAAGATTGCAAGCTGCAAGCAGATGACAACCAGGAAAGAGACAGAAGTAATGAATTCCTGCTACCCAACACTGCAGAAAACAGCGAAAGCCAAGATAACAGAGTACAGGAACTGCAAAGCAAAGTTAACAGAATGGCAACCAGCTTAAAAAATGCAAAGAGCCAGATTCAGACACTGCAGGGTCGTTTAGAGAAGCTGAGCCTCATAAACATGAACAATGTGGAACATTATGTTGACAGCAAAGTTGCAAATTTGACATTTGCTGTGAATAACCTGGATAACAAATGTTCTTCTAAGTGCCCAGCAATGCAAGCAAAACCTGGTATGTAATCTGTTAATTCTTACTGCTGTATAAGCTTTCAGTGTTTCACATTTCACTAGTGTTGGATAAACAACTTAAAATATATTTTACCCAAATGGCTGTGTTATTAAGTTCACAAGTACCTGCTCTTTAAGTGTGTATTTATACTCCTGTAAAATATTTCAGCAGCCACTAGAGGGTTACTGAGAGCTGCAGGTGTTCAGTCCCTCCTAGAGTTGGACTTCATTTAGGGACTGGAAACATTAAATTTTAAAGGACAAATTTTTTTTGCAGTTTAACAAATAAACATGAAAAATTAACCTTATTTTACACCATATTACCCTTCATTAGAGACATGAAACATCAGTGACCAACACATTTTCTCCTTGGATGCAAAGGGTTAAATTTTCTCTAGGTGTGGCTTAGAAAATTGCCTTTTATTTTTTCTCACTACAAAACTGCAGATACTCTGAAAAGGGGTGCCAGGTATGAAGTGTACCTAGCAAAATGCATCATTTTTAATGGATAATAATTTTCTTTTCATCACAGCAAACACCTGTAAGGCTCAGCTAAAAAAAGCTTACTAACAGCACTTCTCGACTGGGTAACATATGTACCATCACTTTAACACTAAACTCTGTGCATTAATTTAATATATAAGGAGCATAAAAGAGAAAACAGGTGTTAGCACTGAAAAAATCCACCTTTTTCTTTTGCCATTTAATTATCCTAACAAAGGAATAGAACCAATGCTCTCTTTCTAATGTTTGCTCTTATTAAGTCAAGATTGAGGGGTTTTCTTAAAGTCATAAAGTTTTTATATTACATATAGGAATCCTTGAACACAAGAAATGCTCCATAGATTGTCAGTGTATTCTACCACTTCGATATCAAACATAAGAAGATAAAGCTCTCGAGAGACAAAACAGAGAAAGAGGAGGCTGCATTACAATCTTTAAGTGTCTTGCTTAGCATCCAAGCTTAAAAAAAATTATATCTACACATATTGGAAATGGATAGATGTGTATGTACAGCTGAAATTCTTGAAAGTGATCTTCTTTGAAAAGAGGAAATAAGTAGCAATAATAAAGGTAATGCTCTTACTATATTAGTAATCAGATAAAAATCGCTACAAATAAATTATGTTCAGATACCAAGCATTCACAACAATAATGAGTAATTTTTGTTACATTAATAATGAATAATAAATCACATTCAAATACAGTACTCAGATAAAATAACAGACTAAATTACTTTTTGATATTCCTCACATTTACTGAATTGCTGGATAGTGTTCAGGGCACATGATTATGTAGATATTCCTTATATTTTTCAACAAGACACTAAAAACATTTGCAGCAGCAATATATTCATTATGAAAGCTGGCAAGGAAAACAGCTACAACTTTTTCCTATTCAGGAGCCATTCCTGCATCCACTGAAAGTAATAGTAAAACTTTATTTAAATAGGAGTTGAATTGCATTATAGAAGTATTTTATCTGAAATGTATATTCTCTGTTAATAACTGCTCTGAAATTTAGTCTACCAAAGATTTTGCACAAAGTTCAGTGAAATAAATGAGAATTTATTGTGGATTTAGATTAGGCTTTAAAGCCTTTGACTCCTATACTTTGTGGTTTCATAAATGTCCAGTTTTCTGGCAAACAAGAGGTCCTGAGTCTTGCTCCCTGCTGCAGCCTGAGATCACTTCTCCCTTTCAAGAAGTAATTTGCTCAAATTTTCTAGGAAAAAATTACAACAGAATCTGAACATGAAAACGCCAATACATTCAAATCTGCAATAGGAATGAACACTATGGTTTTGACTCTTAACTGAGAACTTCTGAGAGCTCTCCATATCTCTTAAGAACACGGAATCCTAATACCATGCTGTTGAACAGAATTAAATTAATGGATGACATTGTGGATCAAAAATGGATTTTCACTCTGGGGAAAAAAACCTGGGGTATTTTCCTTCTGAATAAAACACACCCATTGGTGGGGAAAAGGAACCGTTAGCAGTGAATGCTGACTTTGTTCTTTTCTGTAAAGCCAGCAATGCCACATACACAGGAAAGCACCATCACCTTCACCTTTCTAGGACTCACAATTACAACAGATGTAACAATTTTATTACTTTTTTCCTGCTTCCTAAAGTACAGTCAGCATTAACACACAAAGCCTTCCTAATGACGTTATATTCTCTATCAAATGATGTTTACTTAACAATAGCCAGGTTAACATCATTCCCATATGGACAAAGCTCTTCCTCTGACATACTGCCAGATGCAGCTGTAAATTTTAGGCAGGTTGTGAAGCTATACGTTTAAATACAAAAGGCAGCAAGTGTGTAAATACAAAGTATTAGAAATATGGATTGAAGAAATCAGATTGAATTTACGAGATAATAAAAGGATAGAGTAGAGAAAGGGACAAAATGAAAGCAAATAATCAAAATGCCCTTATATTAGGCATTTTGCTTAAAAAATGTAGTTTAGCTGGGTTTTTTTAGTAATCTATCTGATGCAGAGATCCTAGCTGACATCTGTTATACAGTAAATCTGATGGAAAAGATATTTTTCCCTAGAACTGAAATTGTTGCAACACTATTTGTGATGTAAAAGCCTCTCCAATGGAAGTTCTGTATGCCATATCAGTCTGGGTAAAAATTTGTTATATTTTTAAATTGAAATTATGTTCATTCTAACACTACTTGTTCTTTCACCAGTTATACAAATAATGCAGAGAGACTGTGCTGACCATTACACAGCAGGGAGAAGGAGTAATGGAATCTACAGGATTAGCCCCGATGCCAGAAACGGGAGCTTTGAAGTTTACTGTGACATGCAAACACAAGGAGGCGGCTGGACAGTGCTGCAGCGGCGTCAGGATGGCAGCACTGACTTCAACAGAACCTGGAGTGACTACAAACATGGCTTTGGAAACCTCAGCAGGGAGTTCTGGCTAGGCAATGACAAAATTCACCTCCTGACAAGGAGCCAGGAAATGCAACTGAGGATTGATCTGGAAGATTTCAATGGGATCAGAGAATACGCCAAATACGAGCACTTCTACGTGGCCAACGAGTACCTCAAGTACCGCCTGAGCGTGCACGGCTACAGCGGCACCGCCGGAGACGCCCTCCACTACAGCCGGCACTACAACCACGACCAAAAGTTCTTCACAACCCCGGACAGGGACAACGACAGGTATCCCTCGGGAAACTGTGGTGCCTACTACAGCTCTGGCTGGTGGTTTGATGCCTGCTTGTCAGCCAATCTCAACGGCAAGTACTACCACAAGAAGTACAAAGGCGTTCGCAATGGTATTTTCTGGGGCACGTGGCATGGTATTTCTGATGATACTCCCACTGGATATAGGCAACCCTTTAAATCAGTAAAGATCATGATCAGACCCAAAAGTTTTGTGCAGTAATTCTACACATTCCTCTTCACTAGTTTGCATTGGATTGCACTCAAAATTGTACTTACTCAGTATTATAGTCAGAAATCAAGTATTCAGTTATGTTTGGCAAAAGATTGTTCTAGACAAAACAACATACTTCCACATAATCTTTTTAGAGATGGTTTGACCCATATAATGCATTAAAACCAGCATTAAAATATCTGATAGTTATTGCTAAAACTTAACACCAGTTAGGTCTTGGTTTTGTTATGTAAATATTCTAAACATTGCTTTTGATGCTTTTACTGACTGTGATATACCACATTTTATGATTTAAAACTTTTATATTGTCTTCCACAAGTTGTGTCTGAATGAATACCTACATTTTAACCTGAAAATAATTCAGAGATGTAACTAATATAAATTTGTCAACCCTTTGTAGAAAACCTAGTTTCTGTAAAACAGTCTTTTTCCATCATCTGTCCTTTGTAACTTCAAAGGTATACCACAGCAACATCAATATAAATTAGGAAAAGTACTAAAAATTATTATTTTTAAAGAACTAGAAAACAGAGGGCCACATGGTTTGCCCAAAGTCACAAAAAAAGGCTTTGAAGAAAACAAAAAACAAAGATGATTCCTCAAATTTCATCCCTTTATCAAAGGTTTATCAAAGTTGGTAGAAGAATTGAATAAAAGCAGAGGAAATAATTATAGAATCATAGAATAATTAAGTTTGGAAAAGACATTTAAGATCATTGAGTCCAACTGTTAACACAGAACTGCCAAGTCCACACTAAGCCATCTACACATGGATAGAGTATGTACTGAACAACAACATTCTTGCTCTTTTTGGCTCCTCCATTCAAGCTCAAGGTCCTATTTGTCATTTGTAAGAGAAAGGAGACATTATGTAGCTTATTGCACATTTATGCAGGCAGGCAGACAGGAGGAAGGAAGACACATCAATAAGAATCCATATTCTTTGCATCAATGCCTCTAAATACATGCAAAGAGTTTCCAGTGCCATTTTGCTTTCTCCTGAATCCTTTAGGTAAGTCAAATGTTACAAGATGCTCTTGTAGAGACTCAAGCTCTCATTCAAATAATTCTCAATCTACAAATCATTAGATTCTAATGAAACTAAAAATTATAAATATTTTGTAACATAAGAAAATACTCTTCTCCCCTTTTTTAGACTACACGTTTTGTAGCCACAGAAACATAAAAATATACTGTCAGTTCTAAGCAAAAAAGAGAATATATGATCAAAGATTTTTTTCTAAAATATAAAAAATAAAAAAATGAAATTGTCAAATAGTGCAAGAATTTCAATTTAGAGATACTGCTATTAAATATCACATTGTAGACAGTGAGCACAAGTTTGACTGCACATATTTAGACCATGTCTCTATAAAGATAGTGACCAACATTGAGTGGAGGTGTCACTTATCTTAGCAAGAGGCTATTCTACTATCTTGCTTACACCAATCCTGAGATGCAGAAAAACTACACCAAAACTCTATATCTTTAGCAGCTAAGTGTGGTCATTGTTGGCATAGCTTCTTAGATTAAAAGAGACATGAAAAAAAAAGAACACAAGTATACATCTGACCTAATACTTTATAAATATTATCTCTACTTTTTTCAAAGATTACAACAAAGGTATTATGGCTATAAGTAATGCAAATGAAGAACACTGGCAATAGCTAAATTGTAAAATATTAATATATATTTTAAAGAAGTAAATACTTTGAAGGATAGTTCAAATATAATTTGGTTTATTATATGTCAATTCTAAAGAGCAATGAAAAGTTTTAACTGCAAGATGTATCATCTTTGCTTGACAATATGTTTTGAAGCTATAGAGTATTTATTTTGGGATAAAAAATAGTTGTCTAAACAAAACAAAAAAGCAACTGATGAAGTGTCGGTTAGAAGAGTAAATATCTAATTGCATATGATTACATTTAATCATTTTGCATGAAATGCACAATTTGTTCCTATTCATTATATGATAACTAGCTAAGTATGACTTATGGTATCTACAAGATTCCACTTGAAAATGTCTTTTTTACTACAAGTTGTAAGAGAAACTGTCCTTTTTAAATCTTGTTTAAAGGAAACTTTGTAAAACACAGAAATGTTAACAGAATAAGCAAATGTAACTAAAATCACCTGCAAAAGCTTTTACTCATGTCTTTAAAAACAAAAAGCAAAAAAAAAAGAGAAAAAGAAAGTGTAATGCTGTTACAGACATCTGATTATGACCTGCCTGGAACTGTTGTAGCTGAATCTCTGTCAATATGCACTAGTTTTACAAAGTGTAGCTCCATCTCCTTGTTGCAAACATCATTTGTTTTTGCTTGGTGTAATAAAATAAGAATGTCCTACTGTTAAAGCTGTACTACTGTCATGGACGTACATGAGGACTATTAAAAATTCTCATAAATAATTTTATTGATTTTCTGTAAAAATTGAAGCAGTAAGAAAACACCAATAACCACCAGAGATTACTATGCAACATGCCAAGAGAGTACTTGCTAGTAATGACAGTTCCTTAGAGATCTGTTTAATGATCCTTCAGCTGCCAGACAATACCAAGGGCTGAAAACTCAGATATTTTTTGTAACTGTTCATATTTTGGAAGAGGAAAAAGTAATTTCCCAATGAAGAGTTTAAACAACCTCTATCTTTAACATGAAACAGGAGAGGCAAACCAATGTTTTGACCTTTCAGATCACAGACAAGAATCATTAAAGGCTGTGTATACAAATATAAATACATACCCCAAATTCAATCATGCAATTTTTTGTACAAAGACAAAGCCCTTGATCTCTGCCTAAGGCTTAATAATTCAAAACATATCTTTCAGTCTATGGAAAACATTCTATATAACACTGATTAGCATATGAAGACACTTGTGGTTTTAATCCTGATAATATTTAAACAGCGAATTTTAGAGGGAAAAATTACTAATAGTGGGTTTGCTAGCAAAATTCCTATGGCTTGTTTCCAAAATATAAAGGCACAAGCCCATGTGTTCAGTGTGATCAGCCAAGCAGACTGTAATGTCTTGGCTTCCTATAAATTTCTTAAACAAAACCAAACCAAAACCAAAGAAAAAAAATCCAAACAAACCAGAGAAGAAATTCAAAGAAGGTGTGAAAGCACTGGTGCTTTTTCCTTCCCTTTTAAATGCAAATACCTGTTTCCTTAATTGTGTTTATTGGGAAAGACTGCAGTCAAACTTGGAGTGAGTTGAGAACAATATGTAGCTTGACAAATTGGTGAGGGAAAAAAATTACTTTTATGTGTTTATTCAGTAAAGAACTTAAAATGGTTGCCAATCCCTACCCAGACCCCTACTGAAAAATGAAATCAAAATCAAACAAAAGTGCCAAAGTTACCTAGCTTCTATGATTTACGTGCCATGGAAAAACCAAAGCAGGAAGAATGCAGCTTGAATTTTCACAGAGAAAAAAAAAAAGATAACATAATTAAATACTGGCCTAAAAAGAAAGGTGATTTAAATATATTATAATATTTTTAGATTTTTGTGTTCTTTTTCTTTCAGGATAAAAAGGTAAAAATGGTACACATAGGCCTGAAGACACTGACATAAGTTTTAAAGAAAAATGGCTAAGCAATACCACCTACAGGTGCTGCTAGATACAAACATCTCCCATAATAAATTGATCTCTTTCATTCATTGCTTTAATTAAACTTTTATGGAGTTATAGTTATTCTGCCAGAAGTTAATTTGGCTGTCACACTCAATAGTAACCAGAAACAGAGAACAAAATTTTAAGATGGTATGTCAAGTCCAACCTTCACACAAGTCATGAGGACATGGAAATTATGAAAGCAATGCTATTTTCTAAGTCCTCATTCATCAGCTTTTTCTTATCTTAATTAAAGGAGTAATCCGTTTGGAAAATAATAATAGGAAAAAAGAACCCAAATTACCTGATTATGTTTATATAACCAAGACAAACTGGAAGTTTAATTAAGACTACATTTCAGCAGGAGTAGTATGCCATCACTTAAAATTACACTGTACAAAATAATAGTTGGCTTTACACACTTTCAAGCAATTACATGGAGTGAATGATTTTTATGGAAAAGCAGGATGCACTTTGAGAAACAGAAATCCTCATGCCTTTCTTCAGACAGAATACAAAAGCCTCTCCACCTCACTCTGCAGTTTAACCTCCATATGCTAAATCCAAATACAAGGATTCTTTCTCATGCAGATATTTAAGGCTCTGTTCATTCAGGAGTATTTGGACACAGGTGCTTGGAATAAGTAAATCAGGAATCTCCTTTTTAACCCTTAAAGCAACCTCGTGTGTGTAACAGATGATTCTCCACCAATGAAGTTTCTACTGAATGTACGATTGGTCACATTGCTCTGGCTTCCTCATCACATGGCTGTGCTGACATAAAATCCCAGGCAGACCCAGTTTTTAGTGCAAATTTGCCTTGTCTCAAATAGACATTTTAGGTGAGAAAACAGGAAGAGATAGCTTTGGAAAACAATATAGCAATATAGTCGTCAAGTTTCATGAGTATCAGAAACAGCTGAGAAAAGGCCAAAATGCAAGAGGATGTTACAGTTAAAGGTTATTCCTTCCCACAGTCTCACACTGCAGAGCTCTAGTTCCTCTGTATGCTATGAAATCTGCACACTTGACTTTATAACAGCATAAAAAACCAAGACATCATAAATTCTTTCAAACAGGCTTTTCAGAAATGAACAGAAATACCATCTGCTTTGTGATAGTTCAAACACACCCAACCACTTCCTGGCCTTGTTTCCTCTCAGTATCACCTGCTATTGGTAAGAAAAACCTCTCTGTACAATGAGCAGGTTATACCAGCTCTGTTCCCATTCCTGCTGTTTGAAAGCACTTGTAAATCCACTCAATTCCTCTACAGCTTTTTTAGGAACAGTCAACTCTCCTGTTGCAACAACAATTTGCTTTAACATCCACAATACAAATTATTTCCTACTTGCTGGAAGCTGTTGCAAAAAACCATACTCCAGCTTATAGAAACATAATCAGCCCTAGCTGACTTCCCAAAAGGTTTATTTAATTAGCAGTCAGATTCCTGTGCATAGAGGTGGAAACAACATCTGTCTCAGCTGTCTATGCCAACATACTTATATGATTTTCTGTTGGGCCAGGAGCCTTTGAGGCTTGTCATGTGGAGTGTGCCAGGATCAGCTCAAGCTTAAAAATATTGTTTGCTGTCAATGTACTAAGCTGTGTCAAGATTTTTATATCTTTAATAGAGCACATACATATGTGGTGAGTACTAAAACAAATTATGCACTGCTATAGTTACCATGCAAAAATATAGTGATGATCACACTTTATAACAGCAGAAAGCACATTACAGAATGTGTATGGGGACAGAAATTAAAATGGTGATTATATAAAAAAAAGTTCTATCTTTTAGGTACCTTTTCTAGGGAAATTTTCATTTAAAGATAAAGAAACTTCTTATTTAAAGGAAACTTGTTTACACTCACCATTTAACCTAAGTTAGGAGAGAATTAAATGCCAGTTTGTTACCAAAAGAAATTGAAAACAACTCTAATTTCTAGAAGGGCATTGTTAGATGTGTCTATGTCACTGAAGAATTATATGAAATATTGATTCTTGGTATTTATATTTGAAAGTTGTAGCCAACCTTTATGCGACTTACTCTTCTTTCCTGCAGCACAGATGAGAAAAAGGGGAAAAATGTGAAGCACCTTTCTCCCCTCAAACAACATTCAAACACATGCATCATTTTTTGACATTAAAGCCCTTACAGGTAGCAGATAGACATGAATCAGCATCAGATAATCAGAAACACAATTTGCTTGAGAAGTCTTTGTCATACAGTTAATTTCTTGAGATTCTGATTGAGATTTTGCTCTGTGTTTCCACTAGAACTGAGATTTTGGCTAGCGTCTTTATTAGCAGTTCAACTGCTTTTGGCAGTCAGGAGTTTGAGCTTCAAAATAGTAATGAAAAATATTCATGAAAGGTTCTTTCTGCTTCTTGGTGGCAATATGACACTTGGACATCAGAGATTAAGAAATGTAGCATAATAGTGACAATTTCCACCAAAAAAAACCGCACAAATGAAAGATTTGGTGCTGGTATCAGATAGGGGACACTGATGATTTTATAGGATATAGAGTGCAGCAGTTTACAATAGACCAGTCAGGAAAATCTCCCAAAGAAGTTTATTCTTCTGCATGTTTAGTTTTAGCAAATAAATGGCTGATGTCTGTTAGTAGGAAGGGATCATTGTGGTACCTTCCAAACAAGGTGCCACTCACTGGATCTGAAGAGCAGCAAAGCTTTCCATTCACAAGTGCACTATTCTGCAGAACAGGTAGCTGCTTAGTAATAAATAACACTTGGTGAAAAGAAGTCATGATTAATTAGGTGGCTTTTTTTTGAACTCTGTCAAGTTTTTACTATTTCTACCTAACCCACAAAGCTAAACAATGTTACTATTAATGTCTTACTAAAAAGAAAGGAGAGATAGTGTACATGTTTTAATTCTTGCTCTTTGTACGTTTGAGTATCTGCTGCTTGCATGAGAAAAACAAGACAGGTTTGATGGGAAGAGGGCATATATCTGTTTTTAAAGGAATCTTATTATAACAAAAGGTGTCTCTTCTGATAAGTACAGGCTGTGCAGGCATAAAGGACCAGCCAGTGAAACTGAGATACTATGATACAACTCTTCTTCTGTGGAAAAATCCTGAAAGCTATACCAAGTACTTGAATCCAGCATCAATGCAAGAAACCTCTGTGGTGACCAAAGCCATATATTTATCCCTGAATTATGTATAAAGTTCAGCAAAAGAAAACAAATACGTCAGTGGAAGAGAAGAAATGTGAATAAGTGATGAAAAGCCAAACTCACAAGTAAAGTACAAGTGCAAACTGTTAAAAACCGTGGTAAAATAAATGAGTCATAGCTCTCTTCTAGAAATTGACCAAATGACCAGAAGATCTCATTTATGAAATATTATGCAAATTTCTTACTTTATTTTTCCACTGCATGTTTTTTCCTGAGTTGGGAACAACTCTAAATACTAAGTTTTTCCTGTATTTGCCATTAATGGCTTACAGTGTTACCACTGTTAAACAAGTTAGCTTTAAATTTGATATGCAGAATAACCTCTTTGGAAAGATCTTTTGAGAAAAAAAAAAAAAAATCAAGCAAATAATCTAATAATCTTCTAGATGAAGTCTAGAAAAATTAGTTTTCACCTTGATTAAAAATAAGGAAAACAAAGCAAAAATGCAGAATACAGTTTAGAAGGGGCATGGGGGCACTTCTGCTGCTGCCTTGGACTGAGAATAAAGGGGGTTTGTGCTGCAACAATCCTGGAAGCTGTGGGCTCCCCATACACTGGCACTGGACTGAAAACAGCAGCTTCAAACTATGTCCAGTATGATCTAATAGCAGGATAGCAAAGGTCCAGTCCTATTTTTCCCTTCACTACAAATCCTTGCCATGTCCTTTCTCCTTAGATTGTAGGCAGAGAGTGAGAGCCAGGGTAGCAAACTGATCTGACAGATCCAAGATGGAAAGAGTCCAAGGTAAAGCAGCTGTAGGTAAGAACTTCAAGAAAACCATAAAGTATGAACAAAGCCTGATAAGGATACAAGATAGAGATGTACATTTATATAATAAAAAGGGCAGAAATTGGCAGGTCTCCCTTTTTAATGTGGGAAAGACAAGAAGAAAGCTTCATTGTTCACCACAAAGGAAACTTAAACTGGGATATAGAGAAAACTTTTTATAAAACCCTGGCAATGATGACATACTGGAAAAGGATATACAAAGAGCTATCTCCAGCAATTAAAGATTTAAGAATAAATTAGAAAAATATCTGCAGAGAATCTACTTCAGTGGCAAATTTGGTTTAGATTTTCTCTTAATAACTCTTCTGGCCTTACATATATAAGGATTCCATTTGATATATATTTTATATGTAAACTTTTTATATACTTCTAGTATTTCAAAAGACTCCTTAACATAAAAAAATCACAAAAGAAATTGAGCTCCAAAAGGTTTCTTCTATCACCATCATCATATCATAGTGCCTTAGGAGCCACTTACCTGTGATTTTCCTGCAGCTATGGAGCCTTTTAAAAAAACACAATGCAATTACCTCTACAGATAGAATACTACAAGACCAAAACCAAGATCTCTGTATTCTCATTTCCCTTAAGGCCATGATCACTGTAAAAAAACAACATGATTCTCTATCAAGCACAGCATCCCGAGGAAGAATATGATACTGCTTCACAAAATTTTCTTATCACTTAGAAAAAAAGTCAAAGAAATGGGGACGATGTAGATAGCCTGTGGTAACAACCTTCAATTATTAACAGCAAAAGATACACCTCAAAATAAATTACTTTGTACTGCTACAGATAGAGAAATCTGGGGCATGTGGTACCTCATCTAAACACTGA